TACTTTACCTAACCTTTCTAGCCTAACCCTGTAACGTAGCTGATTTTGAAGTTCATGTAGACTACACGTGATCCTGCGCAAGATTGGTTTAGAAATGGGTTGACTAGGTGCAAAACTCGGACTCAATTCTAACAAGGAACGCACATTTTCCGGAAGCGTTATACCTCCTAGCACAGTAACTCTGGATGTTTTTGTTGCGCAGTCTATTTTAGGGCTTTTACTTGGGACTTGACCAGCGGTGGTCCTTTCTTTTGACCTTTTTGGAGCGGCGTGATAGATTTTCAAACTTTTTCCTTAACTTGCTCTTAATATCACACCGAATCTTTTCGCATACCGATTTAGACCCAGCTACTATTTTCTTCCAAAGATTTCTGTCCAAATGCTGAGCACAATGGTTTTCTTTGTACACACATTTGTTTAATANCAAAACTCGGACTCAATTCTAACAAGGAACGCACATTTTCCGGAAGCGTTATACCTCCTAGCACAGTAACTCTGGATGTTTTTGTTGCGCAGTCTATTTTAGGGCTTTTACTTGGGACTTGACCAGCGGTGGTCCTTTCTTTTGACCTTTTTGGAGCGGCGTGATAGATTTTCAAACTTTTTCCTTAACTTGCTCTTAATATCACACCGAATCTTTTCGCATACCGATTTAGACCCAGCTACTATTTTCTTCCAAAGATTTCTGTCCAAATGCTGAGCACAATGGTTTTCTTTGTACACACATTTGTTTAATAGTGAAAACATTCACGCGTGACCTGGCGCCCTATTTCAAAATGATATTTTGACCCCGGGGCGTGTCTTGCTCGCGTAAACTACGTGTCGGCCAGTCCCGCACATAACATCACGGTGAGTGACCTTTCTGTTCAATATGGCGTCTATTTTAAAGTTTGATCTTCATTAATACTTTAACCTTCTTTTCCACCGAATAATAAAAAGTATTCTAACATAAAGTACGTCCAGGCTCTGAGGAAGGCGATGTCGCCGAAACGTCAGCCATCGTTCAATAACATCAAAAACAACGACAACGACAACGAAGACCTGTACCAACCTCGCGTCAGCTTAAGAAGATCATTTTATAAGATCACATAAATAAATATATCGAAAGGCTGTTGCAAAGTAAATCGTGCGCGAACCAAATGATTAATCGAGGTCACAATTGACTAGGCTTCGGTTTTGTGGACAAATAATTGAATTCTGTAAAATACAGTATGAATCCTATGAAATCATCGCATGTTGTTTTTGGCTCGTTCGCTTATTAGTCATGTGCTGTGGCCTTTTCTGGAAGGCATTTTCACCATAGTCCATGAATGTGGTTCAGCGATTGAGAGAGAAACTAAAACTTAATTGAAACCGATGCAGTAATCGCAAGCACTAAAATCGAATGAAAATTTGGGCCTAGTGGATATAACGCAACACAACGTCATTTTCATTACTTTATTCCCTTTCAGGACCATTTTATTTCAACAACAATACACAAATCATGAATAATAAGACAAAAGGTTGATTTCAGAGTGACACGAGAAAGATCATCAGTTCAGAGCACTTCAGTGATATCCGCTTGCCTCAACTTTCGCGTGCGGAACGGAAGTTTGATCAACGGTAGCCGGAGGTTGCTCTTCCGGGATACCCTGCTCGTAGGTGACTTGCGCTTCTTCTTTATGAACAATCATAGAAGGAGTGATCAGTTCGTCTCCATACTCCATCATATTCGTCTTACCATCTGAAAATGATGAGCTGCGGTTTGGAAGAAGCACAAATATGCAACCGGTTATACATCAAATATGGCCACTTTAAAAACTAAAGAAAGCTCCTTTCAAGATTAGAAACTAAATAGTCTTTTTCGTGTTTTCTTCCTCATATTCTTTTGATTTGTGTAAAAATATTGCAAGCACTTCGCATCTCGGTGTTAGAACAGCAACGCTTCGATTTTCACGAGTTTTCTTCCCTTTCATGATCGTAACTTTCTCCAAGTGGATTGTGCTCATAAGTGGAACGCTTCTTCGAGCAGCCGCAAAGTGATAACCGGCCAAAGTTCGTTGCTTTTACAAATGCCAGTTAAACGTTTTTAAAAAGTCCTCTTTGTTGATGAGAGAATTCGCATTCGAATTCTTTTTCCCCTTGGCATTTTTCTGTCATTGAAATCTCTGATGATGCTCCATGCATTTGACTTCATCAGGCGTTATGGAGGTGTTTGATTGCATATCTGGCCTATGCAACGAATATTGGCGGTAGGCAAGTCGCCGGTATTTTGGTCTAGACAAGTCTGGTATCGATTTGACGACACTGGAGAGCGAAGAAGTCTTGGTGAGCAACAAGCGCGGGGACAAGCCTGTGACTGACCCGTTGTGTACTGCAAGGCACCACAATACACGCGCACCGGCATGTCTTCCTAGCCTTGGATACTTAGACACTTGGATGGCCCATCCTCACTGGTTGTGCCAGCCTCTGCATAATTTCTTTATTCTCAGAGTTTTGCTAGTTTGGCTACTGTGGTTCCTTGAAGTCTCGAGGTCAGCCTAGCCAAGGTCTGCCCCGGGTCGTCACAACCACAAGCATTGTGGATCAGAGGGAGATTTTGCCACCATGCTACTAGTTTAATACCAGGACGAAGGTGGATCCTGCTATTGGTTTACTCTTAGCCGGGGTTTCTGCCAGAAGTGCCGGACTTCTTGTCAGCTTGCGATACCTTACTAGAGAGCTGAATCTCCCCGCTGCACATCGCAGCCCAACATCCAGGAATACCTCGCAGTCACGATAAGGCGGTAAACCGTCTGGAGGAGGTTTTCTTTTAGATCACAAAATTGGAAATGTTATAAATTTTCTCACAAACAGCTTGTTTAGCGCTTCTGTAGAACTTCAGAAGAAGAGAGTTTAGTCTACGAAGTTTAGTAACTTGTTAACAGGGATGTTGAGTGAAAAGAAAAGATTTGAAAACGCACAGGCCGTTATCACTCGTGTGTAGCACACATGAAAAGACAACAGGAAGCAGAATAAAAGCACAGACAGCATCGGTGGCGTGGTGAACGATGCGTTGCAATGATGGTCACAGTTTATATAGACGGTAACTTGTTGCGATTCAGCATCAAAAACTACGACGGATCTTTTTTCCTCAGAAACACTTTAATTGATTTCTCACCGCCCTTGAACTGTACTTTTCCGACGAGTTCGTCTGTAGATAATGCGATAGATTCGATTAATTTTAGCTAACTGATATCAGGTTTACACTTTCACAACAATTAGACAATTGATGAACGAAAGACTTTTTAACATCTATTTAGAAGTAACTATTGGTGAAGAAGGAAGGTGGAGAGTAGAGCAATGATTGGTGGTGCAGTCCATCAGAAAGCATTGTTCTGGTCGACCTCCTCCCCAACGTTCTACTGCAGTGCTCATTGGAATGCTTTAGCTCACCGATCTCCAGGATTCCAAGGAAAATCGACTTCGTCGGCATTTTATGACCTTTGAAAAGAAGACGATACACTCATGCAGCAAGCGAAACAACACGCACAATGTTCGGAGACCTTTGTGGACGATGAATGCCAGGAAAACGAATAGAATTCAAGAAGTGCTGAAATCCACACAGTAACTTTGATGACGGGCAGTGCAGAAAAAATGGTTCTTTTAGTGAAGTGGTTTTCAAAATATCAACTGAGGAACCTTTATTACTAGGTAAGACTTGTGGAGAAACCTCAATTCAACTTTAGGAAACTTTAACAAATCTTCACACTTCAGTGTACTATTCCATAGGTGGCTGGTCTATTCTGTGGTTAGCTCAATGCGCTGCTGGATGAATCTGTGGTTGGCTCAAATTGTAGATAGCTGAATCCGTGATTGGCCTAATTTATATCCACTGTTCGAGTTGTTGCTGAACCATTGACAAAATACTCAGAAGCCGCAGTTGTCTCACGTCGAAACCTCGTTTCACAGTTTTCTTCCTTTTTAATAATAACAAATACCGTTAGCAAGGAGGTGGAGATTCGAAGAGATGACACCGACGCCTAACTCGACACGAAGGCGAAGCTGCCACGTCGAGGCGAATAACAAGCGAGGACCATCGACTCGGATCATCGGCTCTGAGGAAGTCGAAGACGTCGAAACGTTAGCCGAAAATAAACATCATTATCAACCTCGTGTAAGATCATCAAAGAAAGAATACATATTGATTAGTGATACCGAGGTTCAGGGAAAGTCGGTTTCGAAATATTACCGTTAGCAATATTCGTATCATAATGATGCCGAAAGATTTGTAAAACTCGGTCCCAGGCCAGATTCGGGAACTCCTGATGGGACCGTTAAGGTAAAAGAACTAATTGAGAGAAAGGCCGAACGAGGGCCTCAGTGGTGCCGTGGGTAACACGTGACCCCTAGGAAAGGGTAAGCGCAGGTTTAAATCTGGGCAGGGGTCTGAGTTTTGCAAATATCTTAGCAACGTTGTGGTTGTATTTCGCTTATCTTAGCATTGTTGTGGATGCATTTCACGTAAAACGATAACATGGAAAGTAGTGGATAGTAAATAAGGATCAAATCGTTGATGAAAACTATACACGTTAATAAAGAACGATTTTGTTTTAGCTCCACAGTACCATAAGGCTTATTCTCCTTCCTCACCGTTTTAAAGTGGTTGAAATTTCCACGGAACAAAAACATAAATAAGGAAGAGATCCATGAAATGTAGCTTGAATAGTCGTATTTGAAGTGATTTCCTCACACACTTAGGACACTTTGGACAGAATTAGTTTGTAAATGGTTTCAGACATCTCCTACTTTTGAAAGCATATGTAAAAATGCGAAGGGACGCTCATAAATTATAAAAGCATCAACGAGTTCAGAAAAAGGACGAAGAGCCAGCAAAAGAAAAAAAAGCTTATATTCAGTACCATCGCTTTTCATCATTATAATTTCGAACATATTCTGAATTTTGATTATCAAACCCAGTTGAAGAGGGCAAGATTATCAGACCCAGTTGAAGAGGGCAAGATTATCAGACCCAGTTGAAGAGGGAAAATACCCATGTTAGTCCATATTTCTCCAGTCTACCAGACCTATTTTGTTCACCGTCCAAGTCTAATGCTGCCAGGAACACGACAGTCATAGAAAGCCTAAACTTTATAAAATTTCAAATGGAAAATGTATTCTTTTATTGATTAAGCTAACATGAGGTTGACAAGCAAGTCTATTCGGCCGACGTCCCGACGTCCTCGTCTTCTTCAGAGCCGATGAGCCGAATCGATGTCCATTGTCCTTCGTAGTCTCGATGTGGTGTCTTCGTCATCTTATCAAGTCGGATCTTTCTTGTCTAATGGAGGATTCCATCGCAACCTCATCAGACGATGCTATAATAGAATGGAACGGTTGTTGTCTATTGCTGATTCGGATCATCGGCTCTAAGGAAGACGAAGACGTCGAAATGTTAGCCGAATAAACTTGCTTATCAGCCTCGTGTTAGCTTAGCAATGAAAGAATACATGCTTATTATATCGAGGTTAAAGGAAAGTCGGTTTTCGAAACATTGTTGGGCTCAGTTGTAATATTTAAGAGATACTCATTAGATCTTTAGGAGTACCAGTTGTGGGCGGTACATTCACCGAAGCAAAACGAATACGTCTTACTAGCATTTGTTGACGTTGAGAGGTGATCTATTCTATAGGAGAACTTCAGCTATCTGCTATAGCATTTTCGCTGCGACAACACGGTTATTTTATCGTCGCACTACCGCTACTATGTGAAAAGCGATAGTCAAATAATAGGAAAAGAAGTCTACAGATAGGCAAAAAAATTGGAATGGATATCGAGAAAATCAAGTTGATCTTGATAGAGAGTTCCAGAAAGACGGGCCAACGTCTTCATTGTATACCTAAGCTAACTGCGTCCAGTTATCAGATCTTAAACTAAAACGGAACCTACGCGCATGTGTAACCACTCTATAAATGAAGGTTTCAAAAAAATGAAAAGAATTGAACTAATGGTGGGTGGAAGCAACGTGATGTGTGAAGATGGATCATCTAATGCCCAGTATAGTTTGCTAAGCCTATAAGCTAAACTGACACGGCAGAATTAAAAAGTCTATTTCATGAACTCATTTGCTTCTTATCGCCAGCAAACAGTAAGTTTTCTTTCTTGTTCTTACCCCTATGCGACACATGCCGACGCGTCACGTAACCTTGCTGCTGATTGATTCGAGACAGACTTGTTGATGTTTGGGCAGTGCATGCGTCACATGAAGGAGTCTTGTAGATGGTCCGAGCCATCTGACAGCATGAGAAGTACGCCATCTTCGGCCAACTAGGATGTTATGCACCACAGAGTCCAGTGAGCACTTCGCTGGTTGGAAATGCGTCCGAAAAAACGCCCAAGTGTTGGTCTTGCTCTGTGGCTTGCACTTACATGTCAGACCCATACAGCCCGTAAGAGATGTGCCGCGAATAGACGACAACCAGTGTTCGAAGATATTAACAGAGAACTGATGAAAAACCTCCGAAACTAGTAATGAGCCATTAAAACGGTAAACGACCGAAATCATACCTTTCAAACCACCTAATATGATGGTTTAAGACATATTTCATTTAACCGTAACTGAAATTCTAAATATCAGTCACCGCAACTCTCAGTGGTGTTTCCACATCGGCCATTCCAAAGAACCCAAAATCAATAAAAAATCTGCAATAGATCGCCTCCGCTATCTGGTTTTCTGCTGGTTCTCCTCGCTCGTTAAACGAGAAGAAACGAGATTTTTTGCTGAGCGACTCACCTGGTAACGACTCATGTCTTTACTAAGACGTTTGACGTTTCCGGTCAAGCTGGCTTCCTACATTAGAAATCTGGAGAATATGTAATTGGAGAAAAGTCCTTGTAACTAATGTAAACTGGGAACTATGATTTCGTTATTTTGAATACACAGATCTAATTTATGTTCAACCGCATTTGAAGGATAGTTAAGGATAAAGCATAAAACTCTCGGCGTTGATCAGTCCCTAAGGATTTCGTCACGCATGCGCCTTCATCAAGCATCGTTTCGAGGTGATTGAATGCATATCTGGCTTTTACAATGACTCGCTGTGGCCTACCGATGTATTGAGCCAATGCTGCTATCCTCCCAGACAAGTCTCGTACCAATTTTCCAAACCCGCAAAGAAGGCTTGGTGAGCCACGGGCGTGGGGATCGATCTCATATGTGTGTCACAGGGCGCCTCCGACCACTGCGCTACACAAGGATTGTTATTAGACAAACACTGACTGCTTCGATTCCCACAAAAAATCAATCGCATAAAAACGATTTCCGGTCTAAAAGAATATGACATGAAGGTGAAGACCTATTCTTCATTCAACATGAGCCCTTCTGGCGACAATGCATCCTGCAACAGTCAACATTTTATTGGCTAGCAGGTAGCTAATCAATATTTTCTGAACCCCTGTGCCCCCGGTAGTCGCTGGTTCGAATTTGGCCTGAAGTTCTCAAATTTGCTAATATCTCAGCATCATTTTGGTTACAGTTCATATAATATCCACCAATGAAGAAATAAGAGGCGGTAAATGAAGGTTAGACACTCGAACTCGAACGTTATATAAACCATTATTCTGCTAACTTTTCGACCTAATAGCGAAACGTTCTCTGCGTTTCTCAAGCAATCCAAATCATTTGGACAGCTCAACTGGATGCGATTTGAGCTTTTGCTGAATACCGCTGGAATCACTTGATGATCTTTTGGTAAATCGCTGTGTAGAAGACCGCGAGGTTTCACTCAGTTCTCATTATCAATACTGAGCTGATTCCTGTTTCCATTGTAATTGACTTGGAATGAATTCATCTACAATCTGTGTCTTGCTTGATATGGGCTAAGTTAACCGGATTTTTGAGCGATTCTCAGAACAGAAATGGTTTCATCGAAACCAAGTGAACTACTTTAGAACTCACTGTGGTGAATAGACAGTAGGCATTCATATGAGTCTCCGATACATCGGAATCGCTTGTGCTCCTCTATTCACTTCACAGTTAAAATGTCTCGACAAATTCATTCCAAGATGCCGTTTCTGAATAAATGGTCTTAAACATAGGAAATCTCAAAACTATGTGGACTCATGGCAAGGACAGGGTGTCCTTTGGTGTCGACAGCGCGCGATTCATTCTTCTCACAGAGTCAGAATGAGCTAGGGTGAAAAAGAATTGCTCCACTTGCATCCAAACGCCCAATAAAGAGTGAAACTCTGCCGGCAATCGCCAGCTTCCATAGAGACACCGACTCTGCAGCTAATTTCTTTCTCTTCCACAACAGCTGGTTTCTGATTCTAATACAGGAATTCATAGTGATAAAACAACCCAGTGATCACAATACCAGCCTTATGAAAGAGCATTGGATCTAGTGTCCATCTGTAAAGTCGGATCGTAAAGAAATTCCAGTTTATAAACGTGCGAGTTAGTTTAAACAAAAAGTGCGGTTGAGGAAGACAGCAGTTCATAAAGTACAAATGAAACTGCTTCAGTAAACAGCAGTTGAAAAAAAAGTTCAAACCTTCTAACTCTCCAGTATAAACGAGTTGATTGAGACGAGAATGCAGTTATTAGGTTGTTCGGGAAATCGTGCATGACTTGCAGCTTTACTTTTCATATTTTTTTTATTTTTTTGTGTATTTTTAGACAATACTTTTTCGAATACTGTGCTACTACATATCAATTCAAGGCTCATTGTGTGCACTTTAACTATGTATTTCAATATAACCACAATGATGCTGAAATATTTGCAAAATTCCAGACAGCAGGTGTCTGCGGTGGAGAACGAACGCGCTATTGTCCTTTCCGGAGGCTAAGGCGTTCACCACCACACCATGCGGATTTTTACTACTTTATAACTTATATTAATCTATATTACAGTATGGATTGTGTTTTTAACCAATGTTAAAGCGTAGAAAGTGGAATGTTAAAACAGCAGTTTCGACAAATGTTCCACGAATTCAGACTCGGACGCTGTCCAATGCAAAGTGCTTGAAACATTAATGAAGTATGAGCAAAATGCTCTACTGATCAATCAATGAACTTCGAAAAAACCAATATCAACCTTTCGCAGTTCCTGCTATTCATTCGAGCCCAACATTCAGAATCGGGTTAATCGCAACTGCATAGCAACGATCACGTAGATGCAATTAATCATCAGTGCAAAACTCCCTGCAATACTCAACTCTTTCGAAAGAGAGAGAGAGAGAGAGAGAGAGGAGAGTTCCACTAAACCAGTATCCGCATTGCTTTTGTGTTTCATCCCAGTCATGTCTGATATACTGGATCTGCAAGAAATCTTAACGGTCACTCGCAACAGAACATAAAAGCTGGTAATGCGTTCAACGTTGCTGCTTACGCACCAATTACGTTCGTCTATGCGCTACTTTTCGTGGAATGTACTGGCTATTTGCTTTTTTTCGACACGATCACGACATGGTGAGCCTATTTTGATGTGCTTGATAAGAATCGATGAAAAGTCTTTTTCTTTCATTGCCAACTTTTATTTCATTTCGAACTAGGGCCGATGTGAGCTTAATTCCCACTCTCGTGGTGCGCAGATACCGGCCGCTTCTATCATTAAGCCAACAAATCCAAGCTCTTGATAACAAAACAAAAGCCAATAGAACCCATTAGAATCTACAAAACTCCGCCATTAACACAAAAGCTTTCTTATTTTACCGTGATGAAACTCAAGGCTTTCGAGCTCACCAAACGAATTTCGTCGAGTCTTGTGTTTCGAAAATTAAAATACTTCTAAGTCCGACTTTCTATTAACCTCAGCATTGATTGAATATATCTTTCTACTTCTGTTCAGCAAACACGAGGTGCTATTTTATTTCTTTATTTACGCACAAGCTGACGTTTCGGCGGATTTCGCCTTCCTCAGAGCCTGGAAGGGTCAAGTTGACAGCAATCCACTCGGCCAAACACCTCCATAACCAAACAGAGAAAACGCTAAACCAAGATTTCAATCACATTTAGCACAGCTCTGCACGCTCACCGCTTTCTATGAGTCTGACCACTGAGTGTGTCGCGTAAAGACCGACCGCACAGAATTCACATGGAAGCGTAATGTGCCCCTCCCATCAGAATAACAGGTTTATATACTGTCCAATATCGCGCGTGATAACGAGGCATTCCTCCCTGCGGTTCATTTTCGGATTCTTGGAATTAATCCAGAATGCCTCTAGAGTTTTGCGCGCTTGTGTTCTCGATTCTTGCGCGAGGATCGTAACCCTTACTTCAAAATCTTCTCCGTTATGTTTTTGCGTGCTATGCGTACCTAGTGGAGCACTTAGCTTACGTTTGCCGTTTTACTTCAACAACTGAGTAAGTATTAGGGTTATTAACCACGTTATTCTATCCGTAGGGCCGTCCACGAAGCTAATGATATATCTAACCTTAAATAGCGATGGATCGGTAGACACGAGATCATCGCTGGATACTAACTTATGGGTTTTGATAAGTAAGTACAGGACGAGACATGTTGGTAAGTCAATTTTGAGATGAGAAATAACTGATGGTTTTAACCCGGCCGCTCTTGCCACTTTAACCCATTCGTTGTTAACTTTCGGTATTGACTTTTAAATTCCTTCTCAGACGACGGACGATAAAGGGAATCATCTTCAAGGTGCTTTTCCGTTATCTCAACATCCACCACATACCAGTACCAGATACCAGTACCACCATTTCTTCAACCGTTCTTTAGACAAGAAGAGCCCATTAATGAAGTTGTTAAATTTCGGATGTTTGCGAATGAAACTTTCAAAGTCCTTAATCACTATCGCGCTAAAAGATACTGCTCCAACCTCACTGAAATACAAAAACGTGGTATGCGAGAGGTACGAGAGCTGATAAGATGAAAAAACATAAGACTATCGGTTAGTGATAAGGGTGGAGAGTTCGTTGTAATTCCCTATCAGTTAGATGTTGAGATAACGGAAAAGCACCTTGAAGATGATTCCCTTTATCGTCCGTCGTCTGAGAAGGAATTTAAAAGTCAATACCGAAAGTTAACAACGAATGGGTTAAAGTGGCAAGAGCGGCCGGGTTAAAACCATCAGTTATTTCTCATCTCAAAATTGACTTACCAACATGTCTCGTCCTGTACTTACTTATCAAAACCCATAAGTTAGTATCCAGCGATGATCTCGTGTCTACCGATCCATCGCTATTTAAGGTTAGATATATCATTAGCTTCGTGGACGGCCCTACGGATAGAATAACGTGGTTAATAACCCTAATACTTACTCAGTTGTTGAAGTAAAACGGCAAACGTAAGCTAAGTGCTCCACTAGGTACGCATAGCACGCAAAAACATAACGGAGAAGTTTTTGAAGTAAGGGTTACGATCCTCGCGCAAGAATCGAGAACACAAGCGCGCAAAACTCTAGAGGCATTCTGGATTAATTCCAAGAATCCGAAAATGAACCGCAGGGAGGAATGCCTCGTTATCACGCGCGATATTGGACAGTATATAAACCTGTTATTCTGATGGGAGGGGCACATTACGCTTCCATGTGAATTCTGTGCGGTCGGTCTTTACGCGGCACACTCAGTGGTCAGACTCATAGAAAGCGGTGAGCGTGCAGAGCTGTGCTAAATGTGATTGAAATCTTGGTTTAGCGTTTTCTCTGTTTGGTTATGGAGGTGTTTGGCCGAGTGGATTGCTGTCAACTTGACCCTTCCAGGCTCTGAGGAAGGCGAAATCCACCTTAAAATACTTCAACAAGTGGTATTTTGCCAATTAAAGCCCAGCGACGTCCCCAGACTCGTAATATTTTAAAGGTTTAGATTTTGCTTTCATTTTCTCGGAAAATTTTAAGTCCAGTCAACTTTGAAAATTAATTAACTGTTCTAAGAAGTTCTCTATATTCCTGTTGAGCAAACACGAGATGTTACTATATTCTTTATTCTGCTAAAGCTGAAGTTTCGGTAGCATCGCCTTCTTCAAAGCCAACTGTTCTCATCCAAAGGTGACCCATCAAATATTCTCTGAATAAAGTAGCACCTATGTGTTTGCTTAGCAAGAATATCGAGAACTACTTGATCAATGGGAGCCCGGCTCAATAGAAAGTCGGTCGTAGGGGTTACTGTTTTCAGAATTATGCCTGCACACAAAAAGATTAAGCAAAGTCTCTGCAATAAGCCTATGACGTTTTCAACTTCTCAAATATTCGAGTTGTCGAAAAATTATTGGCAGCCTGAGCAGAATAACCTTCGGTAACCAATCAAACTGGCTAAGTAAGAAAATCAGATTGTTATAGAAAGACTGCTCTATCGATCTATGGCCATAACTGATATATATATATATGCTACTGTTTTCCACCGCTTTCTATGTTTCACCATACAACCACATTGCTGTCGACATTTGGTAGGATTTCGCATCTCTTGCCGAGTCTATTTCCGTATTTTTGTACCCGCCCACTCCATACAATAACTATGTCCCAAATTAGCGGCTGTATTGCTGGTCAAGTCAATGGTCAGTGAACTCGCATGAGAAAAGTTTTCGTTTATTATTTCTTTTAAATACATTTTCAGTGCTGATTGGAGCTTTCCCTTTCTCACGCAGGCCACACAACATCTTTGTTAAATAAGCAACCGACAGTTCACAACAAATGTTGGAGCTGTGTACTGTGCATCAAAATAAACTATCGAAAACAAAATATCCTCTACAGAGGTCAGACCGGCAACTACGTCCCTAAATAAATAACTCCTATGGTTTTCGGAAGGACGCGTGTGGCGCAGTGGTCGGAAGCGCCCTGCAACACACTCGGAATCGAACCCGCGCCAATGGCCCACTAAGTCTTCCATCCCTTCGAGGTTGGCAAATTGGTACCGGACTTGTCTGGGAGTACAGCAACACTGGCTCGGTACATAGGTAGGCCACCGCGAGTTATTGTAAAGGCCAGATATGCATTCAATCATCTCCAAAAGATCCTTGATAAAGTCGAATGCATGGCGCATCCCTCAGAGATTGATCAAAATCACGGAAGAGCTTTATCCTTTATCCTTTATAGTGCTCAGGTCGCCGCCTACGTGTTTATGAACAGCAATGCTTGATAAACAGTGGTAATCTCTGCCTTATAGAATCAACTGATGGAAAAGAACCTTCTTGGATTATTAAGCTAACACGAAGTTGATAAAGATGTTTATTCGGCTAATGTTTCGGCTTCTCCGCCTTCATCACAGCCTGTGATCCGAGTCGATGATCCACGGTCGCTCGTCTTCTCGATGTTGTGTGCTCGCCGTCGTACCAAAAAAAGATGATGAACATGTTTAAATTTTTTACTTGCTGTTGATTCCCTCTTCATGGCAAAATATGGAATAAAGTGCAACACAAAGATACTGAGATATGGCCAAAACTCGGAACTTCATTTGGTTTCGAACCCGTGATTACCCTACAGGTGAGTTATGTGCTATCCAGCACACTAACTTTGCACCTATTTCGCAATTCTCTTTCTGTTTGCCAAATATTGTGATTTCGGGTGCAGCTTTAGCTTAGCTGGGTTGAATGCCGATTTGTGTCACCCAGTTCATTCCCGCTGATGGGCGATTGGTGAAAGCACCGTTTTCTTGGTGAGCAAACACGAAGACGTTAACAGCAAAATTTACTTCTTGCCCATGAAAGAATCTTCTGTGCCGCTGGTCTTCAGTAACAAACTGGAGAATTTAAGAACAACAAAGCGGCTTCGAAGAAGGCGAAATCACGGAAGCTTGAACAAATCTTGCTGTAAAAATCCTCGTCTTTCCTCATAAAAAACGGTGTATCATTGATCAATGCAGAGATTACGGGGAAGTCGGTTATGGGATTTGCTGATAGCACCATTAGAGCTAAAAACTGGTTGAAAGAAAGGCAGTGCCTTTGACCTCGACTTCCTCCTCCCCATGGACCTCGGCTGATGTGGTGGAAAGCTCGTGAGCTCCCAATAAGGGTGATCGCGTTTCGAAGCCGAAATGAAGTTTCCTACATTGCATGTTCATGACTGCGCATTAGAAAAGTATGAAACATCGCTAGTAATCGTTTAGTTTATAAAACCCTCGGAAGCTTATATGCTTGACTTTGAAAAAAGATGAGAAACCCTTTAACACTAGCTGAGGTTCTTCAAAAAAACTCACTGCTAAATCAGAGTGAAATGTTGAAAAGTGCATTGTCCCGAACATCGACTGAATATATTTCTCTTTAAGTTGTGAGCATCCTTCATTCACTTCTGACGTTCCGAAGCGCGACTATCGTTATTGATCCTTTAAAAAGTAGAGAAACTATAGATGCTTTGTGTTTATTTGACGTATCGATTTATTATCCTATACTTAGATCCCATGTTCCAGTTCAAGAATACCGAACCGACGAGGATGTCATGAGAAACGACCATGCAACCACTACCATGCCAGACGAAAATATTTCTATCGGGATTACAGCTGCGACTGAGAAAGTCACGTCAGGGCCGACGGTTACAACTGGTGGAGTAAAAAAATCTACAGGTGCAGAAAAAACCAGGACTATGGTTGGTTTTGAGGAAGTGATGGGAGCGGATGGAAAGAGGCCACCGGCCATCACCGTTATCCCAGCAGTTACTGCAGAGCAATTTGTTGATGAAGCTGCAACACCGGTAAAAAATTATGTGGATGTCCCAAACGTCTCCAAATACGAAAAGTCGAAAGTCATGTATGGTAATGCTGGAAGAGAAGACAACAAAATAACAAAAAGTGGATACGCCGTCAATGTCAAAGCAGTGCTTTCTGAATATAGAAAAAGACGAGCTAGCGAATACGTAGGTGAGCGTGTTACACCATCGCCTTATGGATATTCGTACGCACAACCAGAAGAGCAGATTCCAGCGCTTCTAGAGCAGGGATATTCTGCCAGTGAAGCTCCTCCTGTAAAGCCTGCTGGTTACAGAAGGAAAAGACTGACTAATCCGTAGATGAGAACATAAGACCCACACCCAGTTGAGATCCACTGACACCAGTAAAAGATGGTCGCATCGCCTGTCAATCAACTAACTATTGTTGTCCGCTCTGACAACTTGTTATTGAAATTCTTGTGGCAGTTAATAAACTATTGCAAAAAAATAATTCTGCGGGGGAAAATGTGGCAGTGTGGGTTTCAAACTCAAAGCACAAGGAGACATTCTATAATGTATTATCTCATGACATTTCGGCAAAAAACAACAAATGTTTGGAAAAATAAAGCAATAAAAAACAAAGAACGATTATTAAATAACATAAATAAAACAAGTAGAGTAAGTAAAATGGTAATCGAAATAACATTAATAGTAATCACAATGATGTTGAGACACTTGCAAACCTCCGGACCGCAGGTGTTTGTGTTGGGGAAAGAACGCACAATTACCCTATCCGGGGCTAACGCGTTCAACACCACACCACGCGGATCCTTTGTCACGCCTGCTTCTCATCTAGTTCTGTCGATCAGTAATCTATCGACACATAACACCCTGCCGTGAAAAACCGCAATAGGCAGTAAATAAAAAGTTAACATTGTGATTTAGACCATAGCCTCAGCTTAACTGGGTTCATTGCCGATTTGGACTCACCAGATCAATCCTGTTGACGGACGATTGCTGATGGCCACCTTCCTGGTATCAGACTAGTCTCCTGGTATCTCCCTCTGGTCCACAAAGGCAGCTCCCTGTGATGGTGACGACCTGGCGCAGACATTAGCCCGGCTGACCTCAGGACTCCAGCAAACCTCCGAAATTTCACTAGGGCCCGCACAACCAGTGAGTACGTGCCATCCAAGTATACAATTATGTAAACTAACAAGTATCAGTAGAAAGGTAGAGAAATAATCAGAGGGCTTGTTTAAGGGAAGGAAAAACTTTTAAATAAAGAAGGGACCAAAATTTAAAAATAGACAGATGGTGCTAGTATTAAAATATTGATGGTGACTGTTAGTTTTTAAACTCACAATCACTGAGGTGTTGGATGGAAACAGATTCACTCATAATTCCTTTCCGGAATAAATTTTGCAGAGTTTAAAACCATAATCAGCCCAAGGATCAAGATAGCACCTTTAGTGGGAAGTTATCCGCAGGTATTACGTTTTTAATAAGGAGTAGAAAAATAGAGCCAAGAATAGAGACGCCAGCGACGACTGATGAGGAGACTAAGTATGACTCAGTGAATTAACAACAAAAAAACTAACCATCTACTCTTCGTCAAACACAGCTGGATTTAAGAATGTACTTCTGTCTCTATAGTGTTGGTTTGTATCATAGAAAAAAATAATCAATCATTCGAATATTACGCACGTGGGCGTGTTAACACGCATGTGAGTTTGTATATGGAAGGCTTTTCAGGGTCCTTTCCCACTCCCTCCCAGCCAACGTCTACTCCGGTCGACAATCTAATCCGAAAATTCAGTCTCTTCAGTGGGACTTCGCGAGTTTCCTGGGACGTCATCCCTTTGGTAGAAGTGAAAATAGCGAGTTTCATTCGAAAAATGAGATCACCTCCGTATACCTCAATCCAGTAGAGCTGCACACTGCGTGGTTATGAAATGTGCAACCATAGATGAAAGGAGACTCTAGCGATTTTCCTCAAATTTACTACGCAGTTTGAAAGACTGGTAGTGATAACAGGTGAAACAGGTGGGTGAAAAGAGTGTTTTCTTTCTACTGTGCGACGTAATTGAGTTAACTGGCCACGTGTTGGAAGTTTCTTTCTAACATCACAAGAAGGGAATTATATGGACTGCAGTGGAATACAGTTTATGCAAACTCTTCTTTTCCGCCTCTTATTGAACAGCAATTCCTTCTCGGCAATGTGAAATCAGAAGTGAGAATAACCTATGCTCGCGAAAAAGATAGGTGTTTCTTTTCTCGCCCTATCACTTCGTGAACAAACCTTTCGTCCTTTGTTTTACGTCTTCGTTTCAATCTAGTAGAAATTCCAGCTAACTGAATGCGGTTGTCCAGAAATGATTCTTCCATTTTTGGAAATTCGAGGTGACGGGGTTGGAATGTGAAATTTGTGAAGAAGCAAATTTTCTGTGCTCAACCTTTTTCGCGCGTTCAAATAAAATGGACACCTTAAATGAATTACACAATTTATAAGAGTTGTCTGCTGCTTATACTGACAGTACACCAATTCAAAACCGTTTTAGTGTCTAACTACTTGCTTCCCCACGTTTTTTTTCTAGCACTTAATGTATAACTATTTTACAATTTTAACTTATTATTTACTGCCTACTCTTTTTAATGGCAGGGTATATTGCGAAAAATAACTTCAGTGATGCTGAGATATTTGCAAAGCTCTAGACCGCAGGTGTATGCGGTGGGGAACGGATGCACCATTCTCTTTTCCGGTGAGTACCGCGTTCACCACCACACCATGCGGCTCTTTCGTTTCACTTGCATCTTAAGAGGTTTTAGAATTGTTGAGGTAATTCCATCAAAGAATTAAATTCGTATCGTTTTCATCCATGAGTTCAAATTTAAAGAAACCATAACGGAAACGCGTGTGGCGCAGTGGTCTGAGGCGCCCTGCAGCAACACACACGTGGAATCGATCCCTGCGCCCATGGCCCACTAAGCTTTCCACCCCTTCGGGATCGACAAATTGGTGCTAGACTTGTTTGGGAGAATAGCAGCACTGACTCGATACATCGGTAGGCCACCACGAGTAGTTGTAAAGGTACATATTCATTCAATCACCTCCAACTACTTAATGAAGTCGAATGCATGGCTCATCCCTCAGGAATTGATCATCGCTGGGAACCTTATCCTTTACCTGTTTACAACGGAAACAACTGGCAGCTTTTCACGGGAATAAGACATGAGGCATTCGAGGGAGGGCACGGAATTGTGAAGGCTTCCGCAGTTTTCTTAAGGTTTTTGCTAGATGGACAGCAAGAGCTTTGATTTCAATTACAATTTTTATTGAGTCATCTTTCATGTTCACGAAAAAACATAGGGCTTACGGCATTGATCCACCCTGAAGGATGCGCTGTGCATTCGATTTCGTTGAGTATCGCTGGAGGTGACTGAATGGTAACCTCATGTTTACTACAGGGCGCCTCTCACCACAGCGCTACACGCACCCCTTTTACCCTTTCATGCTCATAAAACTATTATTTGCCCTTCCAAAAAATTTCTTCTTAAAACGATTGGTGTGACTGCAATGGATTCCATCATTCCGATCAGGAGGGCGTTGACTCATAACCGTGCTAAGTAATATTGTTTCTATCTCTATTCACCCATAGTACTTAAATGTTACCAATTTTTGTTACTCTGCTACACGACCTAGCATAACATCGATCACATTGTGCGAACCACCGCACTTCTTCCATTTGATTCGAGTCCTCGTATTTATACTCGAAACTTTTCAAACTTTTTTTGCATGTGGCTTCTGTTGCTGTTTGAGGATTTTCCATTTTTGTTTTACTCACGAATTTTGTTGATTGTTGGTTGAGTCGATTCTCCTTGCAATACTGTGGTGCCCGTCCAAGCGTGCTCCCTCGTATATTAGAGGGAGCAGGGTTGTCTGAGATTAGTTTGGTACGAATTTCCGCACCTAGGCATAATTAGAGACATTATGGGTTTGGGGCGAAGCGGCACTAGGATCTGGTATGTTGGGTCGTCCAGCTAATGAATGGGGTCACTACATTACGCTACGCGCTCCTATTATTGCGTTTATTTATTCAATTACTTATGCTTACATTAAAATCGTTAGAAACTCGTGTCAAAGGAAGCATTACTTAGTATTTGGTCAGATAACTTTTTCAAATAGTCATTTCTTTCACCGCCTTTGTTGTTAGTTTAAATCCTGCAAGTATTTGTAGACGCGCTTCGTTCATAAATGTAGGTTTCGACGAGATTGATCAGTGTGCGGTAATGGAGAATGCCCCTCAAGTACCACAACCGTGCAGAGAGATGGCCTTAACACATTCTCAAGGATCTTGGTTCTTCGACAAATGGCAGGAATTTTTCGATAACTTGATGCTTGAGGACTACAGGATCAGTGAAATTTGCAGACCATATACCTCATTATTCTAGGACCACCCAGAATTTTTTTGAGATATTGCTTCGTTTTTAGTTTTTGTGCCCAAAAGCTTCGAAATTTCAGCTCATCACTATCCAGTTCACTAGGGTCCCAACTGTCTGGCATGTTGAGCTGATGAAGCTCTGGCTAGTCGATCTTAGGTTTTCAGGGAAAATCAGGTTCGACTGGCATTAAAAGGTTAGTCAGATAAGACAGAAGAGAGCCAAGTTGCAGTCGAAACCAATTACGAGTACGGCCATCACCGGTTGGGAGACGCTTCAAAGAAAGCGAAACGAGTCGAAGAATCGCTGGTACTCGCCCAACATCCAATGTTCGTTCCTTAGGTTTTTAGAGTGAGTTAGTAATTGTTTCTACGACTGTTCAAATTTAAAAGCTAAACTACTTTCCTAAGATTTAGGCATTTAAATTAGTACACATTTTTGTAAATTTTTTCCACTCATTGTCCTTATAAACATTACGTTCGAGGTTACAATTTAGTGAATTTTTCTCTAATTAGTCTTTTTGTTTCAATTATTTTATTCATATCGTCAAGAAATTTTTTTGTTCTGTCGACTTCATTTTGGTGTGGAAAGTATACGGCCTTTCCATGAGACCATGAAAATCTTTGTTCTCGTTGTTAGGTCAGATGAAAACGAAGGGCACATAAATATGGCATCTTATTGGAATTACTTACTTAGTTGAACGGCCTGTGCTCACTAGTTGTGCAGGCTCCAGAATAATCTCCATTTTTCGGAGTTTTGCTGGTTTAGCTACTGGGTTTCCTTGGAATCCCGACGATAGCCTAGCTAAAGTCTGCCCCAAGTTGTCACTACCACAAGCAGTCGCAGCCCTTGTGGATTAGAGGGAGATTTGCCACGATGCGACTATTTTAAAACTAAGACGGTGGTCGATCTTGGTATTGGTTTAATCTTAGGTAGTCCTCCTGACGGAAAGCCGTGCTCCTTCTCAGCTCAGGAGATCCTGCAGTAGGATGAATCTCCCTGCTGTAAGTCGCAGCACGGCACCTAGTTACACCTCCCAGCCAAGATAAAGCGATAAACCGCTGGAAGGGATAGGAATTAGTGTTTCAATTTTTACTTTCCTATTCTAGCACTGCTCATAAGAAGTAATTGTAATCAATATTTTGCAAATAGAATGGTTCATGATGTGGGACGAAATGCGTCAAATTTTCAACAAACGTTCTACGTCCTTGCATCATCATTGCTGAAGTTGCGAGTTGTCGGCAATGTCTACGTCTTAACTTATTGGCTCAATTTCATAATGTTGCCATTTATTTCGCCTATATTATTCAAGTTTTCTGATCTTTGGAAGCAAATTTTCATTTTGAGCTTCGACATTCCACACGCATACATACACACGCAAATACATACATGTGTATGAAGACAGTAAAGATCGTAGTTGAGATTCGAAAGTTAATATCCTGAGGGTCGTGCTGGTGGTGATATTCGACCTTGATATGAAGCTGCACCAGGATGCTCTATGACCTCGGCGGCCTGTTCTGCGGGAGCATAGGAAGCTGGTGCAGCGGCCCCTACAGGTGGAGTCACTTGTTCATCTCCATAAGAATTGCGTCTTGCTCTATACCCAGAGAGCTGGGCAGGTGGTTTAACTGGTCCGCAGTCCGAAGCAGGAGCGTATTGAGCATATTGCTTTACGGCTATAGGTGCTTGTTCAGGAGTATAGGCAGATGGAGCAGCAGCCCCTACAGGTGGAGCCACTTGTTCATCTCCATAAGAATTGCGCCTTGCTCTGTATCCAGATGGTTGAGCTGGTGGTCGAGTTGGACGGCAATCCGGAACCGGAGCGTATTGCTTTACAGCTACAGGTGTCTCCTCAAGCAGACTTTGTGCACCAGCGCCACCAGAATAAACAGAAGGAGTAACTGATTCGTCACCATATGCATTGCGTTTATCAACTGAAAGACACTAATCTCTGTATCGTTGTTACTGCATGATAAGTCTTATGAGCTAGAGGAAGAGATATTTTGTTGGTAAAAATCTTATCCATAATTGGAAGCTTTATTTTAAGAACTTACTTGACTTCGTGGTGGAGAATAGTTCTAATACAAACAAAATTAACATTCGTTTCATAGTGACGGTGACGTCGTTATCTTAGCCGGTAACCTTTTATATCGTACCGTTGCTGACCTTTCATATTCAGCAAAACCGGATTTTTTATGCGATACGGCTTCGTATGTTCTCACAATGTAGAAATCGAGAGTGCTAAATGCGAAACGACATGAACAAAAGCTTAGGCCTTGAACGTACATGTCACGTTCTTGAACAACTTTACCTTAGATCTCTAGCGAACAGCACGAATTCTGTGCCCAACATTCCACTTAGAAAGTCAGCAGAGAGGAAGAATTTAATAATATTCGGATGATTGTCGAATGGAATGAAATTGACGGAATTCTGCAGAACTATTCTTCGGATTTATATGTGGTATGATTTACGCATTTATATGAACGCAACTAGTTTTATCACAGTCTAAAACGGGAAAAAGTCAAAATTATTAAATCTGTGGTTGTTTTGTGTTTTTTTTTCAATTATTTTGCGCAACCCAACATCGGATATTGTGCCATAATATATCCGATGTGCCAATTGTTAGTCCTCTTGTATTCGATAGTTCATAGCATCAGTAATCCACAAAAGTTACCAGACTTGCGTGAGGTCCGATAACGCTGATCCTACACAAATTTGGCATTAACTTCCCAACCCCGTAGAGATGCGGTGTGCCTGGTGGGCCCCGTAAGAGGGCTGACCAAGGTTTTGCGCGTACTTAATGGCGCGTATCAGTGCCATTCCGGTAGACGCATCCATGTTGCTATTTCAGAAAGTTTTAGCCTGTGAAAGGTAGTTATGTATTGAAAAGTAGTCCTAGTTACAGTAGTATTTACTACTTCTTCGAATGAGGAGCTACTCCTTCCTCAAATTCGTAAACGAAAACACGTCATTTACTTTCCCTAACAAATCATTAGATAATAAGGCATAGTTTGTGACTTGGACCAAACTGGAAACAACCATGTTCGATAGCCGTCAGCAATTAATACGCACGCCATTCTCGAACTGTAATCATCCTTTGTCTCGCAATTCTGCTTACAATCTTTTTCGTAGCGATCTTTACAAAATGAGAAGGGAAAAAGTGCTGTAGCCATTCTTCAAATGTTGACTTCAACTTGCTCTTCTGTTCAGTAACTCCACGTAATAAAAACCGTTTTTATTTTGAGTAGCCAAAAATTTACTAACGCTAATGTTATCAAATATCTTCGAAATCATGGTTCAGCTAGGAATTTCATAAAGCGTAAAGGATAAAGATCTCGGCGTTAATCAATCTCTGAGGGATGCGCCATACATTCGACTTCATTAAGCATCGTTTGGAGGTGATTGAATGCATATCTGGCCTTTACAATGACTCGCGGTGGCCTACCGATGTATCGTGCCAGTGCTGCTATCCTCCCATACAGGTCTGGCACTAATTTGCCGACCACGGAGGGTTGGAAGGTTTGGTGGACCATGAACGCAGGGATCGATTCCACGAGTGTGCTGAAGGGCGCCTCTGGCCACTGCGCCGCACGCTTCTTAGAGATTTCATGGCAACAACAATTGCTTGTCCGAGGTTGAGTGACATTTTTCGCTGAGAAAAATCGTCTACACCCCGACATGCCCTAAAGGAGGTATTTTCTCTCAACGTTTTAGCTTAATGATCTAAGGATTCCTTACTCTTTTCTTGCCCACCAAATCACTTCATATTCATCGTATGCCGTACACTTACAATAATACTCTTTTGTAAAAATGACCCGACATTTATCGGTGTAACGCGGCATTTATTGTCATGAATCTCTGAAAGTATTGGTGGCGAATCATTGGAAAGCTGTTGAAGAAATCTTCGAACACTGGAAGATGGAACTACGAAGATCCAAATCGCGATAACAAAACGCGTGTCGACGATCGATTTGAATCATTGGAGGGGTTTGCCAAATGAGACTTTTACATCAACTTCGTGTTAGCTTAATAATACAAAAAAACCCTGAAAGATGAATACCTAACGGTGGAAACCTAAAACATGGAAAAACGGGAAGAAAAAAGCTTGGGAACTGCTACCGCATAACTTAATTGGTTCATTTACGTTACTCAGAAGCGTCTGGGGTCTTTTGAATTGTTCAGTAACCGGCTCTCAAAGACATGAAAATTGAGATGAGACCCAGAAATAAAATCGAATATGCGGTTAAATTGGCGATGCTATTCATACATTAGCGGAAACGCCGTCGTTCTTTCACGACGGTGGATACCGGGGCCATAATTTGCTAAATAGGGTCAGACAGCCATCACACTGGCGGCAGCAAAAATAAGAATGGTCCCAACACGAACGATACTGAACGGAGCTTCCTCCAGACTTCGCCAAAACATGTGAGACCTCATCTATGGAGTGGCTTGGATCTATATGAAGAGAAAATTATGTGAAGAGGTATAGGTGTCTGCGGTGGGAACGAACGCGCTATTACCCTTTCCGGGGGTTAACACGTTCACCACCACCCCATGCAGGTCCTTCGTTTCGCCTGCCTAGTTTTTGTGAACTGTCTGCAGTCTAGAGTTTTGCAAATATCTGAGCACTGTTGTGGTTATCTCACATACTGCTGTGAAAAATAGTAATAGGCCGTAAATCAAAAAGTTAACATTATATGAAAAAAGTATGATCGCGTAAAGATCATACCACCGTTGGAAAATCGGGACACACCAAGTATCTATGAGCATCGCCCATCGCTTCAACTCATGAATACATCATTCTTCGAAGGACCCTGTTAATACCTTCAATTTTTTTGAGCAAATTTGCTTTATAATTCTAAAACACTGGTTTGCTACACTAACGCATGTATGCATGGAAAGCATTCATATGCACTAAAGAAACAAATCCATCGTTTGTGCAACAGCATGGTTATTCATTTCAACGAAGTTGACCAGTGCTTAAAACTTCATTTTAAACCTGGTTTCGGACGTTGATTACTATTCACCAATGCAAATGTCTATACACTAATTAATATCGACGCGTGTGGCACAGTGGTCGGAGGCTTCCTGCAATGTACACATGGGATCGATTCCTGCGCTGGTGGCTCACCAAGCCTTCCATCCTTCCGGGGTTGGCAAATTGGTACCAGACTTATTTGGGAGAACAGTACTGGTTCGATATAATGCTAGGCCACAGCGAGTCACTGTACAGGCTAGACATGCATTCATTCACCTCCAGCGATGCTTAGTGAAGTCGTATGCATAACACGTCCCTCAGGCCGCGGGATCATCGCCGAGGGCTTTATCTTTTACCCATTAATACATTGACATATAACACTCTGGATGTGTTGAATACAATGCATCAGAGGATATTGACAGGTTCCAAATCCAAAACAACGTATCTTTGCTCATGTTGAGTCATTAGTTGGAATAGAAACCTTTAGACTCCGAGGGTCTTTAACCACAAGGTATAGTTTATTTTGTTCTACCAAAGTGAGCTTCTATTTATGTAGAGCGCGTGGCATCTTCTTTTCACTTTATTGCTCCTTAAAGGTTCATGTTTCGAATACGAAAGCAATCGAAGAAGCAAGATTCGGTCCGGAAGAACGCGTTTCCGACATATTGCTGTCGTTTCCAACTTCTGCCTTTTCTTTGGAATCCCAAGATCTAAAGTTTCCTTTTCCAACCTCTTAGAGGTTTTAGTTCTTGACACTCGAAATTTATGGATACGTATAAGAATTATGTCTAAGCGATAGATCTCTCCTATAAATCAATACAGTTCTCAGCTCCTCAAGTACTCTGGTGACCGAGAATGTTTCATTTCTCGAAAAACCAGCTTGAAACGTTGCAAGTTAGACGAAGTTTTTCATCACTGTGAAAGATCCAGCTGTTTATTGCATCTTCGGCTAACAGCAGAGAATCTCAACTCCATCGTGCTTCATCGATATTTACGGCGGCTTTTTCTGCTAATGTAAACTGCGCTTTGCTGTATGATCCTCTGATAAGGGTCATTCTTTTCCTCACATTGTTGCTTTCTTGGAGGAGGAAAATCCCTGATAACCTCGTCAGGCATGGATGTGGCGTTCCAGACGAGTGAAAAGTATTGGTTTCTCGAAAACAAAAGAAGTTCACTATTGCTTCGCTCTTAAAGGCGACTTTTTGGTTCCACGTTATTGAAAAGGCAGAAAATGATTATGGTAACAATACCGTATTGAAAGTGGACCCGTTCTCACTCTTATTAAAAGACATCGCCGTTTTCAGATCGCTATTTTATCACGCTTATCACGTCCTCATCAAAGAAAGAATACATATTGATTAGTGATACCGAGGTTCAAGGAAAGTCGGTTTCGAAATATTACCACGCTTTGTGCTAGCTGATAACAACACCGACTTCTGCACGATGTGCGCGATGATTATGTCCGGAAGAAAAACAAGTTGTTATCATCGGACATTATCATTATATCCACCATCAGCATCGTGTATAAAAGGGCATCACTGAGTAAGGATGACTCATTCGAGGAGATGGCTCACTGGAGAAGACCTGACTCGGTACGAAAGCGAAGCTGCCACGTCGAGACGAATAACAAGCGAGGACCATCGACTCGGATCATCGGCTCTGAGGAAGGCGAAGACGTCGAAACGTTAGCCGAAAATAAACATCATTATCAACCTCGTGTAAGCTCATCAAAGAAAGAATACATATTGATTAGTGATACCGATGATCGATACAAAATTCCTTTTAAAAGTCTATAGAAACACCATCCATCAAAGACGGACGTTTCCATCAGGAAGCCTAGCTAAGAGTGAGCTAATACCAGGATCCGCCTCCGTCCTGTTAACAAGCTAGTCGCATGTTGCAAATCTCCCTCTGATCCAGAACGACGGCGACTACCTGTGGTGGTGAGGACCTGGGTCAGACTTTGGTCAAGCTAACCTCGGCAATCCAGAGAACCACAATGGTTAAAGCAGCAAAACTCCGAGAAATGGAGATTGCTGTAGGACCCACACAACTAGTGAGGACGGGCCGTCCAAGTAGCCAAGTATGTATAAAAACATCGCCAAGGAGTGCCCTTTGAATGCATTTTATTTAACTGGTTTATTGTCCATTCCATTCTTATGAAATTGCGCCCACTTTTTTTTCGTAATTGTAACAAGTTGTTCAAGTTGGTCAAATCTTTTTTTCCCTTAGTTCTTCTTTGAAGTTATTCTGATTCCGAAACCTTCCTCCATGTCGCACTAGACACCACCTTAAATCTTAATCAGCTTCTAGCAATATTCTTGTTCCCTGTTTTCGATTTTTTGCAAAGAACCTAAAAAATGCAAAAAATCAACAGCTGTTTTTCTTTACATTACTGTTTTTCCTAGTGATTTCCTAGTTCGTGCGATATCTGAAAGTAGAGACCTTCAGAGTCTTGGAGGTTTTGTTGAAAATCCGCAGATTAAAACTGCGCAACAAGATCCTAGAAGACGCAACATGCAAAAACCTGTGGTGTGGAAAAAACGAATGCGATAAACCTTGAGAATGGTGAGTTAACTACCTCCTCACCAAGTGAAGTGGTGGCGAAAGCAACAAGGAAATGGGAGGGCTATAGTTGTTCACCATTCGTCCCAAGTATAGAGAATACTAATTCCTGAGATCCATCTTCTACTGGCCTCGACATTGATCAAACAATTCACTGTTTTTTGACGAGCAAGCACGAGGTTGTTACTTTATTCTTTATTTGCAAAAAAATTGACATTTCGGCAGATTTCGCCTTTTCCAGTGCGTGAAGAGGTCAAGTTGACTGCAATATAGTCATAACAGTCTAAACACGTCCATAATCAAAACAGAGAAGTCACAAAATCAACTTTTTAACCGTATCAACAACAAAACAGTTTCTTCGTAGACTCACAGATTTCTATGAGTCTTACACTGAATATTACATGCGGAACCAGCTTCACAGAGTTCATATGAATGGGTGGTGTGCCTCCCTCACAATAAAATATCACAATCCAAAAGTGGGAAAGGATAAAAAAAGGATAAAGCTCTCGGCGTTGATCAATCCGTGAGGGATGCGCCTTGCATTCGACTTCATTAAGCATCTTTGGAGATGATTGAATGAATATCTGGCTTTTACAACGATTCGCGGTGACCTACCGATGTATCGAGCCAGTGTTGTTATCCTCCCAGACAAGTCTGGTACCAATTTGCGACCCCGGAGTGATGGAAGGCTTGGTGGGCCATGGGCACGAGGATCGATCCCATGTGTTGTCGGGAGCCTCCGACGTTTCCGATTGCGCCACACGCGCTCATACAGGCGGTTTGAACTAGCTGTCGTTTTAGAATGCTCAGTAGTTTTCAATCGCTGCTACCTAATTCTTTAGACCGGCCCTTCTCAAGCAACGTTTTATAGATGCAATTACTTCGTTGAAAACAAGTGACGGGATAAACGGGACCTTATTCTGGTTAGTATCACCGTTTGAGGGCCTTGTTTCTCCTCTGCACCTATCCGAAGGAGCTACGCGTTGTTTCTGTAATAAATTCATAAGAACTCAGATAAGTTTAAATTTTTCGTGAAGGCGTGGGCGTCGCTATGCCGGCGGCTCATTCTTGTTGAGCAGCTAGCAGAAGGATCCACTAGCAATTCACCACACCGACGAAATTCCTGCACGGATCACTTGACGAAGAAAATCTGTATTTGGCGTAAGTGCGTCGGAGTGCCGTCTGCTTCCACTACGTTTCGCTCTCTATTTGCTCTCATTCTCCGTTGTCTACTACAAAAATCGCTCTTGAGTGTTTTTTTATTTTCATATCTACTGGAAATGGCTGTTTTCTGCTCCACTTTCAGGTATTCTTCTTACCGATCCCTACCCGTGCACGCTGTGATCGTTCTTCGAAACAAAACGAAACAAAAACAAAAAACGAGCGTACTTTTTGTTTGTGAGTGATGAGAGGAGAGGTAATCAGCCAGTATGTTTTTGCTACTTAGCGTCTGGTTCTATGATAATGCAAAGGCTACGAAAGTGCAGTTCTTTGGGATTGCTGCAGAGGAGCACAGAGGACAAGGACTAATACATAAGTGAAATGGGTGCACTATTGTACGTTCGCACCAAAGAACACGAAAAGGTATGGGTCTCAAAAAACTTTGAGTGTCTAGAGAAGCTACTTTGCTTTTAATGCGGTTCAAATCTACGTTTAGCGTTTCTTGTGTTTTACTTATGAAGGTGCTTGGCTGACCAGATTGCAGCCAACTTGGTCTCTTGAGGCTGTGAAGAAGGCGAAATCCGTTGAAACGTCAGCTTTTATGAACAAAAAGCATTATAACACCTCGTAGTCATTCATCAAGAAAACAGTCGATTACTTTATACAATACAGTCCTTCTCATATTCTTTTAGCAAAGATTATTGCGATTTAGTAAAAATATAACAAAGCTGTGTCCGGCAAATTAAGTAATAATTCAAAAACCGACTTTTCTTTAACCTCGGCATGACCAACCAACATGTATTCATCATTGATAAGCTAACACGAGGTTGATTAAAAAAATTCCATTTATCTAACGATTTGAGCGCCATCGCCTTCTTCAAACCGGATTGATCTCTGTCCATTGTCCACAGTCGCTCCTTCTCGCGTTGTAGGTCCTCATTCGTTAGAGGCAAATCTTCTTGAGTGAAGCACGACTCGGATCATCGCGGATCTGATGAAGACGAATACTTCGAGACATTGACCGAATAAAACTTTGTATCAACCTCGTGCAAGCTGAATAATCTGGGTAAATATATTGACTAGGCAAACTGTAGTTTCTATGACCCAGATTAAGAGTTTCGAGGTTCGCGAACTTCACACAAAGGTTTTGGAAATTCCAATAGTCAAAATTGGGAGTTAATCGTAATATTGCTGGCCGAAAAAAAGCTGTTGCGCAGCTCCATCTAAATTTCACACCATAGACGCTTCAATTCACAAAGATGTTCAGATTCTCGTAAGATACTTCAAGAGGAACCAAATCTCCAAAAGACCGCGGCAAACTATGTGGCACTTTTTTAGCCAGCAAACTCAAATAAGTATCCCCATTGTCATTTGTTACAAGCAAAACGAAACGCTCTTTGCTTGATTTCACTAACAGGGCTAAATGAGACAAAATTATTATAAGGATGGTTATGCACATTAGGCAGTGAAGTGTGATCCTCAGGTATTACAAGATAAGATTGTTCCCTAAATTGACATTTCTAATTTCTAAAAACGAAAACGTTTCGAAGTCACATTTAATTTTGACTACATGTCTAGGTATGATTTATAAAAATTAAGTGAGCATCAGCTGATTAGCATGAGAAATAACGGAAGTGAATAATTCTTGTTCATGTTCAGGGATCTTCTTAAAGCCTGCATCGCTAGCGTTCATGAGTTGATCAACATCTTCTGCTTCACCACAAACTTCAAACACGACAAGAGTTGCTGAAACAAAGGATTCAATGCACAGTGCTCAAAGTAATTTAGTATAAAATGACATATTTTTAGGAAGAAAATATTAAAAGAACAGATAACAAAATTCGCTTAAAAGAACAAATAAGCATACAAAAAGCGATATACAAAGCGCTTTGGTGTGGAAAGTATTATCTCCACCGGTACCGTTATACAGCGGCAAGGGTAGCGCAGTGGCGGAATGTTCCTGCAACATACCACTCGTAGTAGGCTCGATCCACCCTCCTCCTTTCATGAGAAACGTATATTTTCCAGCTCTCTGGGTCGAAAAATTGGTACCAGTCTTGTCTCAGAGTCGTTAAGCACTAATGATACATCGATGGGCCACTGCATGTTATTGTCTCGGCGAATATATGTATTCACTGACGTTGATGCTTAACAGAGTTGAATACATGGTGGATTTGTCAGAGTTTGGTCAATATTGAACCCTTTACCGTAGCTCTCAATCTACAACGGGTTTGGGAAAATACGACGCTGTTTCCAAATTTTTGTCATTTTACATTCCATGATCGTTGCTATTTATGTCGCAATTAACATTGTAATACTTCGCACTATACTCTACTATAATACTTCGCAATAATAAATAGGGCGCGGGTAGCGCAGTAATTCGATGCTTCCTGCAACACATGGGTTCGATCCCGCGCAAAAGACTCACCAAACGTTCCATCACTCCAGGGTCTGCAAACTGGTAACTGATTTGTCTGGGAGGATAGCAGCACTGGCTCCATACATCGGTAGGGTACCGTAACTCATTGCAAAGACCAGATATGCATTCAATCACCTCTAACGATGCTTAATGAAGTCGAATGCAAAGCCCATCCCTCAGGGATTGACCAACGCCGAGAGCTTTATCCTTTACCGTTTATCCCAATAATAAATGGATTTGTACCGGTACAATATGAACGTGCTACCACATCAGAAATTTGTTTTCTAATCCAATTTTTAAGTGCCACAGCTTCTCAGAATTAAGTGAGGTGATACGCTCTAAAAGAAACAGAGAACATCATCCTCTTTAGCACATGGAACGGTGGAACACTTACCACATTGTCCGAATAAGTGTTAGGTCTGACATAAGGGAAACCGTTTTGATTGGACGGAAAAGATGACTAGTGTTAAATCCAAAAAAGAGCTAGGAAACTCACATAACCCATGAAGTGGTATTCCAATTTTTGTTCCATGCTTATGCACGTCGAGTTCAATTGTGCTGACTAGTCTTACTGACGGATATGCGAATATGGCGTGTGCAACTTCTTGACATCGCTCCACGAATTGACGTCGAGGTACATCCCTGCTATATCCAGCATAGTAGTAATAGCTCTGGAAACCCTTCCTGATAAGTTTTGCCCTTCTTTCCTCGATTTTCTAAAATATTTGTGCCAGTTTAAAACTGGCTAAGAGAAAGGTAAATCAAGGGCATCGGTGATGCCGTGGTTAACACGTGAGCTCTCAAAAGGGTAATAGCGAGCTCAGAGCTCACCTGGAGTTCCTAGTTTTGGTCCTGTCTCAGTATCATTGTGGTTCTATTTCATGTAATACCCTGCCATGAAAAAAAAATGATAGGCAGCAAAACAAAGCTAAACACTAGGTAGCACTTTTTTTGTTTCAGTTGAGCAATATAATGGTAGGATAATTTAGCGCTAAATAATTCCTGTGCAAAAGTGCAGCCGCGTACCATCATAACCTGAATTTCAATATTTCAGCTCCTCTTTCAGGTTTTTACAAAAAAGACCGAAAAAGATCTGAAAAGGAATGCTTTTGCTGTAATACAACCATTATGATCTTGAGATATTTGCAAAACACGGACCCCGGGCCAGATTCCAACCCGCGATTACCCTTCCGGAGACTCACGTTTTAAGCAAGGCACCACTGAGGGCTTTACATTGTCTTTCACTCAGCCAGTTTTATACCTAACACTGCCACCAGCAAACACCCGTCAAGGAACACAAATCGGCATTGAATCCAATTAAGCTGAGGTCGTAGTCGAGATCGTAGTGTTAATTTTTTATTTACTGCCTATTACTATTTTATCACGATATTTCTATGATATGAAATAAAACCAATACGATGCTGAGATACTCGCAAAACTTCAACTCCAACCCAGATTAGAGCCCGCTCTTATGTTTTCCGGGAGCTCACGTGTTACCTACCGCACCACTGAGGCCCTTGCTTTGCCTTTCTCTCAGCCAGCTTTTTCTCTAACGGTGCCATCAGCAATTAGTCTCATCTTCTTGCTAAAATTTTTGGTGTAGTTCGAAGCAAGTGAAATAGAGCAAACACCTGTGAGATTTTTGATTCCTTAAAGGGTATATCGGAATCATGAACATTTGTTGAAACGCCATTCGTACTCAGCACAGAGACGTGGTTAGGACCCTGAAAGACAAAGCAGAAGAGATGACAGCTCTCTCTTCCCGTCAATATATAATACCATAGTAGTTAATATTAATAACAAATTTTCATCGGCTCGCTATTAATTGTTTTACAGTTGACGAATTTTAGGATGTGAGTAATCTGAAAAGGACCCTCATGTCAAATAAAAGTGGTTTTTAACTACTGCATAAGGAGTTGGATCAGTTGGCCTAAAGGATTGTCAAGTGACTGTAACAAAATATTGAACCTTTTGAAGGCTTTTGACGACCAGAACGAAAAAAATGGCCTTTGACGATCAACGCGAAAAAAAATGGCCAGTCCCACTCGCAACAGCACAGTTCTGAGGAAGACGAGTTCGCCGAAACGTCATCCATCGACCAATAACACCAACAACAACAACAAAGAAAACCTATGGAGACTTACTGAAAGTTAGTCTTCCGAATCATATATATATATATATTTATATATGTTTATAATTATATATATATATATATATATATAT